GAAATAATCTTATAGAACCCTCCAATATCCATGTGTGCAGGATCCACAAGATCAACATTAAAATTAATACGAATCTCTAAAAAAAAATATCACATGAATGTAAGATTTGATTTTTAAAGTCAATGAAGGTTTTACGGGATCAGTTATTTATTTATTTATATATATATATATATACATCGAGCGATGAATGGCTCAGATGAGTATGTCACAATTGAACGATTAGATGATCGAGAGAGCATTATTAAATTTTGAAATGGTGTTGTCAGTGAATACGGACACCTGCATGCAGGGTTGTCTTTCGCTCTCATCTCAACGAGGCAACCTCTCTCTCTCATCTCAACAAGGCAACCTATCCCTCTCTCATCTCACCCTCTCTCCTTCACGCTCCGCTCACTATAAACGAAACCTGAGGCAACCTCTCTCTCTACTGAGCAAGGGAGATTATAACCCTTCTCTCTCTACTGAGAAGTCTCGATCTCTTCTTCAGAGCACAAGGCAACCTCTCTCTACCGAGAGCGAAATAAAACCCCTCTCTCTCTCTAGTGACAAATCTCTCTCTTTCTCATAGCACAACTAAGCACATTTCAAAATTGGCCCGGTTGTACTATTAAGGCACCTTTATCTCTCTACATAGCACAACAAAGGTACGGAATAATGCATAAATGGTTTCATTTTAAGGCTTTCAGTTTAGGGCTTGTTCTTCATTGTAGTTTTTAAGGGGAAGTTTACTTCTATTCTCAAGAGATTAGTTTACATGAGGAAGTTCACTTGGTGTTCATAAGGTTTAGTTTTTTATTAGAGGGGAGTCATTTATCTCCCTTTGTAATTTTCTAGTGGAGGGCAGCGATTTCTCCCTTTCCTAGCTTTCTCCACTCTTTCCTGGTTCTGCATTGTATTATCAGTACTTTCACTCACAGTTGGGGCTTCAATACCCCAAACCCTCAGCTCTCTGTAGCAACCTCACTCCCGCTCTCCCATCTCACCCTAAGCTCTCTGCAGCACCCATCACATAAGGGTAAGTGACGGCTCTCCTTGATTCCCACATCTATAAAGTTTACTTCCTTTGGCCTTATCAGTATTGATCCTGCAATCGTTTTTCTAATTGTAAAATCTGCGTAAAGGAGAAAACATATCAAGTGTACAGTAAGTCAGTAAAAGGTAATGGAAATATTGTATTCCAAACACCCTCACCATCCTCAACCCGCTGATAATAATTTTTGGGTCCAAAAACGGCCAACTTAACTCAATAATCATCTAAAAACAAAAAAAAAGTAGGCTCCATAGCCAAATGTAGCAGT